CATGGATGACGCAAATAGCCACAATCACGTTTCTAGTAATAGCACATTTATCGGACCTGGTAACTATTTTTCAATATCCGAATACGAAAAACCGATTCTCCGTACCGGTTCCAGTTACGGTTTCGATACGGACCAAGTCGATAATTTCGAAAGCGGAGAGCAACTGAAGAAAATGCAGAAAATGGCGACTGAAGTTCTGGAAACTTCAAAGAATTCAAATTTCAGCAACAAAATCTCCAAATGTTCTAATTTCGATGGCGCTGATGCTACAAACGCCTACGCAGTCAGTTCAATAACCACTACTACTACTACTACTACCTCCAGTAATTTTAGCACTACTGCTACTACTCTTTCCTCTGCTTCTACTCTTAGTAGCAATAGCATCACTAAGCCAGCAACATCAGATTCGAAGGCTACTTTTAAAAAATCCAGCAGTAGTAACTTTACTAGTAGCTCAAATGCCGCTAAGAGTAGCATTAGCTACACTGACGAACCTGCATACGATGATGCAAGCATTTTTAGTATCGAGAACCGTGGTAATAACTGTTGTAGTGGCGATAGCAAGGATCATATCATGACAGATGTCAGAATTTTTGAAGAAAACAACAACAATAACATTAATAACAATAACAACAACAACAACAACAAAAACAACAATATAAACTACAATATCATCAACAACAACATCAACAACAATAACATCAACAATAATAACAATAACAACAATAACATCAACGACAACAACATCAAAAACAACAACATCATCAACTACAATACTAACAACAATAATGACGAACGTATTGATGAGAGTGGTAATAATAATTTCATAACGAACAATAATAATCATAATAACAACAACAACAATAAAAATAATCACAACAACAACAACAAAATCGCATTGGAGTTGGTTGAACTGAAGGGCGAATGCAATGATAATGAAGATAGCTATAACACAGCAAAAAACAACAACATCAACAACAACATCAACAACAAACATTCCAACAACAACAAGAGTGATGTTGACGAGGACAACGACGATTTCGGCGTTCCTGATGATGATTACGAGCGAGAAGTTGGTGATGATGATGATGACGTTGATGATTATGATGATGAGGAAGAGGAGGAGGATGATGATGATGAAAATTTAACCAGCAAGAAACACCTCTACCCTTGGATGAAACGGATGCATCTGATTTGCGGTAGTTTTATTTCATATTTTTGGTTTGTTTGTTAAATAATTTTTTCGTTCATTTATTTATTTGCTCATTCATTCATTCATTCATTCATTCATTCATTTGTTCGTTCATTCATTCATTCATTTATTCATTCATTCGTTCGTTCGTTCGTTCGTTCGTGTTCGTTCGTGTTCGTTCGTTCGTGTTCGTTCGTTCGTTCATTCGTTCGTTCATTCATTTATTTATCTATCTACAATAATTATAGAATTATGATCATAATTTCTTTTCATAATTTTGTCCCCACCAGAAAACGGAGAGCAAGGTGCGGATAACAAGCGCACGCGGACCTCCTACACGAGACACCAGACCCTGGAGCTAGAGAAGGAATTTCATTTCAATAGGTTCATAATTATTAAATTATATTATATTGTCATATTATAATTATTATAATTACATTCTTATTTTTCTATGTTTAATTTTTACCGCTGGCGAGTTATCTCGAATCGTAGTTACCGAGCGCTGACCTGGTTTGAATGCTGGCTTTGCAAAAAACTCAAAAACTGTCACACGTCTTGTGTGTATGATAGATAGGTTGTGAATACCCGTAGATACGTCGTGTTGTGTGTGGATGATACATGCAAATGTGTCATGTGGTGTGGGTGACACATGCAGATATGTCATGTGTATGCGTGGTTGAATGTGGAAATTGTAGTCTGTGCGGCACTGAAAATGAAATGTAGACTACTAAGTCAAAAACAATATGCAGGCAGTTTAATTAATTTAAACTAAACAGTATTAACTTATATTTAATTTGAAGATATTTATCAAGAAGGCGAAGAATAGAGATAGCTCATGTGTTGAATCTGTCAGAGAGGCAGATCAAAATCTGGTTTCAGAATCGTCGGATGAAGTGGAAAAAGGATCACCCGAATCACCCGGGTTCAAACGCAACCCTCCACAGCCCGAAACAAAACTTAAACTTTTCCCAACACAACAAATCTCAACAGTCGCAACGACAGTACAAACATCAGCACAAACATCAACAAAAACAATCAAAATCCAGCGGTAGCCAAAATTCGGGAAAAGTTAACCAAATTTCTGGAAAAATTAACCAAAATGTAGGGAAAGTCAACCAATACAGCCAATCAAAAGCTCACAAAGTCAACAGTGAGCTAGAGAAAAATCAAAATATGGTCAACATAAAATCCAACAATTCACTAACTGATCAAACCCCCATCAAATCGAAACTAACACCGAATACCGAAACCGAACCGACGGACCACAAATTCGACACCTACCTTCGCTGCTACTCGAATCTCAACGCAAAGCATATTCTGAGTAACAAAACTTCTAGCAACAACATCGGCTGCAGTATTGGCAGTAATAATACTTGCAGTAGTAGTGCGAGTATTAATATTTGCAGCAGTATAAACGGTAGTAATTGTGGTAGTAATATCAAAGTTGGAAGCATTTGTAATGGAAATAATAGTGTTTCTATTTGTAGTAGCAATGGATGCATAAGCAGTAATACTAACAATGGAGTTAATACTAGCATTGGTATTAACTGTAGTAGTTACGACAGCAACAGCAGTAGTTTTTATACTGACGAGTATTTGGTGAGTAGTAAATATATGGATGGGTTTGACTCAAGGGATTATAAAAAGCATCCGAAACATATTAACAACGATCATAATAATGATAACAACAACATTAGTAATTACTATTCATACAACAGCATCAACAACAACAACAACAACAATATTTACAGTACGAGTAAAATCAACAACAACAACATCAACAACAACATCAACAACAACATCAACAACAACAACATCAACAATGTAAGCTGCAATAGTGGCTACTACAGTAGCAATGCTACAGTTGATTACAGCAACTGCTTCTACGGCAGCATCAACAACATCAACAACAACATCAACAACAACATCAACAACAACAATTTTTACATAGACCAATACGATTATATGGTACCGCCAGCAAATAGCTCAAATGCATTTCAAATGGAAATACCTGCTCTAACGATAATTGAATGATGATGATGATAATGATGAAGATGCTGATAATGATGACGATGGTGACGACGACGATGATGATGAGGAAGTCGGTGATGATGATGAGGAAGACGATGATGATGAGGAAGATGATGACGATGACGACGATCATGATATGATGACGGTGAGATCTTGATGGTGATAATAATGAGTGAATTTTATGGTTAAGATAATTATAGAGACTGTGGTGATGATGACGATCAAATTAAATTTCTAATTATAATTGTAATAATATTATAATTATAATCATAAATTTTGATAATAACCACAATCGAAACGATGAAGATGATCAATTTTCGATCATTATTTGAGACAAATTATAACTTCCTTTTTCTATTTCTAGTAATTTTTCTCTACAATTTCAAGCAACCTTATCTGGAAGAGGGTAAAAAATCGCGATACAGCTATTATTATTATTTATAATAATAATAATTATCATAATTATTATTATTGTTCTTATTGTTATTTCTATTTGTTTCATGGTTCTCATCATATTTCTACCTGTTTTTCTTGTACCCTAACTACATATTTCAACTACATATTTCATCTTTTCATCGCGAATAAACAATTACTACACACACACACACACACACACACACACACATATATATATATATATATATATATATATATATATATATATATATATATATATATATACAAATATATCCAGACTAGCACATCAAGACATCTATTGAACCATGCACACTTGCATACACATAAAACACACACTGACACATTTACACACACTGACACACATGCATGCATACATACGAAACAAAACGAAACGAAATTTTTTACATACAAACATACATACATACATACATACTACATACAATACATACATAGAAACAAACAAACATACATATATACAAACATATATACAAACAAACATACATACAAACATACATACATTAATCAATAGCAGCAACGGCAAAGGGTAATTTTTTCAAGTTATATTTATAACGCGTTATTATATATATATATATAATATATATATATATATATATATATATATATATATATATATATATATATATATATATATAACTATTTAGACAAATATTTAATATTTTACTATTATATTATTATGTAATTATGGTAATAAATTATGCTATTTTTATCTTTTTCTTTCGTTTTACATATGAAGGGGTGATAGTAGAGGTAGTAGTAGTAGTTGTTGTTGTGAGGGTAGTGGTAGTAGTGGTAGTAGTAGTAATAGCAGTAGTGTTCGTAGTAGTAGTAGTAGTAGTAAAATAATAACAATAAAAATATTTATAATATAAACAGAATTCTATTCGTTCATTTTCTCCATCAATTCATTCGTTCATTCATCCATCCATCTATCGATCCATCCATCCATCATTTTGTTTTCCTTAACGCCTTCGGATGTAGTATGTATTATTATTCAATTCCCATACATTCACTCTCTCATTCATTCATTCACTCCCTCACTCATTCGCCCTTTTATTCATTCAGTCAAACTTTCACTTTTTCGCACTCTCATTCATTTATTCACTCCTTCACTCATTCGCTCCTTCATTCATTCATTCGCTCTCTCACTTATTTGCACCTTTATTCATTCATTCATTAATTAATTAATTAATTCATTCATTCATTCATTCATTTATTTATTCATTCATTCATTCATTCACTCATTCATTCATTCATTCATTCGTTCGTTCGTTCATTCATTCGTTCGTTAATTCTCATTTCATTCTTTCTATCATTCATTCAAACATTCATTTACTTTTTATTAACATTAACATATCTGGTGTTTTCGTCTGCTAGTTTTGAACGTAGTAGGAGCAGTAGAAGAAGCGGCTGTAGTAGCTGCAGTGGTAGAAGCAGTAAAAGTAGCGGCTGTAGCAGTTGTGGAAGTAGAAAAAGAGGCAGCAGTAGCAGCCGAAGTAATGTAAGTAAGCAGAAAAAGTTTCAATAACAGTAGTAGTAGTAGTAGTAGCTGTAGTAGTAGTGATAGTAGCAGTAGCAGTAGTATCAGTAGTAGTAGTAGTAGCAGTAGTAATAGTAGTAATAGTAGCAGTAGTATCAGTAGTAGTAGTGGCAGCACTAGTAGTAGTAGTAGTGGTAGTAGTAGTAGTAGCGGTAGCAGCGTTCTAATATAAATTCCGCGTTTTACCTTAGAGACGTCAATGACATTGGAACACGCATTCAATATCATTCCAGTCGATGTAGCATATGCCTCATCCAGAAGGTAATAGAAGTAGTAGTAGTAGTTGTAGTAGTAGTGGTTGTGGTAGCTGTAGTAGTACAAGTAGTAGTAGTAGTGGTAGTGGTAGCTGTAGTTGTGCAAGTAGTAGTAGTAGAGTTGTAGTACTAGTAGTGGTGGCGGTAGTAGTAGAAGTTGTGGTAGTAGTAGAAGTAGTAGTAGTAGTAGTAGTAGTAGTAGTAGTAGTAGTAGTAGTAGTAGTAGTAGTAGTGGTTGTGGTAGCTGTAGTAGTACAAGTAGTAGTAGTAGTGGTAGTGGTAGCTGTAGTAGTACAAGTAGTAGTAGTAGAGTTGTAGTACTAGTAGTGGTGGCGGTAGTAGTAGAAGTTGTGGTAGTAGTAGTAGTAGTAGTAGTGGTTGTGGTAGCTTTAGTAGTAGTAGTAGTAGTAGTAGTAGTAAT